TCTTAGCGGTCACACCGGTGCACCGTACAGTGCCATTGACTGGACAACCCCCGTGTACAGCCATCTCGTTGCGACGCTGGGTCCCCCCAAATTGGGTAAAAGTCGCCCAAGTGCAGACGCAGCGCCGACCAGCTTTTGAGCAAGCACTTTCCGTCAAGGATCAGGCCCAGATATTTCATTTGTACGAGAGTAATTCTTAACCAGTTACGAGTTTCTTATTTAAACGATGAAGAAATATCTTACTTTTACAAATAACTTGAATTACGAAATAAAAACAACAACCTATATCCCTATTCATACGAAATCATATCACTTCTCAGAAATCCATCAAGGGAGGTTAAAAAACAAATAGACCAAATGGTTTAATAAAACAGTATTGAACTATCTGACTCTCCTTGGTCCTCCCCAATATGGGTGGTTCCAAAAACACTGGATGCCTCAAATGTCCAAACGAGGCGAGTTGTTATAGACTACTGAAAACTCAACTACATTACAGTTGGAGATACTTAACCGCTTCCACAGATTGGCGAAATTTTAGACCAATTAGGAAAGAGCAAATATTTTTCTACATAGGAGTTAGTATCCGGGTTCCATCAAATCCCTTTTAGTAAAGACGACAAACCTAAAACAGCTTTTAACGTCCCAGAACGGCACTTTCAACTCAATCAAATGTCATTTGGTTTAAAGAACGCCCCGGCAACGTTTCAGAGACTGATGAATACAGCTCTATCTGGGCTCCAAGGCATCCACTGCTTTGTGTATCTAGATGATATTGTTTCTACGCTCATGACATAGGCTCCGCTATAAAAAATCTAGCATCCATATTTCAAAGGCTCAGAAATTGCTACCTAAAACTTCAACCCGATAAGTGTGAGTTTCTGAGGCGCGAAGTTGCCTATCTAGGACGTCCCAGGTTCACCTATAGCCGAGACTGCGGTCGTCGCCGCGCTCACCTTTGCGTGCCGTTGTGCGGCCTCCAATGCCAGAGTTAGTTCCACTGCTTTTCTGTATGTAATGCTTTTCTCAGCAAAAATACGAGATCTCATCGCGCTGTTGGATAGACCTGATACGAACTGATCCCGAATGTTTCTTCCAGAGTAGTTACAAAATCACAAGTAGTCGCAAGGTGTTTAAAATCTTGAAGGTATTCCGTCATGGATTTACCGTCCCGCTGCCTACGTAAACGAAACACGTGGTGTTCCGCGATCTCCGATCTTTGTGGCTCAAGATGCTCCAATACCGCCTTTATCAATTCACTAAAAGATTTTTCCTCCGGGTTTTTAGGTGCACATAAATCACACATCAATGAATAAGTATGTTCACCTACCACTGTAATAAATAACGGCACACGTAATTAATCCTTTATTTCGTTGAGTAAAATATATTGTTTAACTCGCCGAATGTATGCTGGCTACTGCTTAGTTTACCGATAGGCATTTTAATAGTAATTTGCACACTACGATTCGATCTTCTTTTTTTAAATGTTCCTCGTCGTCATTGGAACATAAATCAAACACCGAGGTGGGTAACTAATTAATGTATTATGTGCGGTACAAAATACTTAAAGTACCTTTTTTTTTTTTTTTTTGTGCGGAAATCTCTCTCGGATACCACCGGTGGCATGTCGGACACGAACCGACTAAAACCGCACGCCGTCTCGGGTACTAATAGCCGGGGAACCAGGTATACCTTAGAAAGGAAGTCCCTGGTGCCCCGACAAACCTCGGGCCATCGACAGACGAGTAGACAACCCCCCCCGTGTGGGAAGTGTGGGAACCCCATGTTCCCTGCGCTCCCTGGAAGCGAGTGCGCTTCGCAACGCGCTCGCCGCCACCCCGGCCTGCTTCTGCTAGGGTGACAGATGGCCTCACCTGTCATTCTGCGACCTTTAGCGCCTGAGTCGCCTGCGGTACCTGGCCCATTCCCGGGCCTGGCGCTCCGCCGTCTCCTTCGCGAGCATAACTTGCTCGCAGAAGGAGACGGCAGAGTTCCACGAAAGCTCGCTCCGCACTATAGCCGCAATCAGGCTATCGAGCGAGAGAACTCCCACACCGATGGCCGCCACGAGGTCTCGCCTCTACTCAACCCACGCCGGGCACTCTGCCAGCGTGTGGAGAGCCGTGTCCATGGTCTGGCCATCGCAGTAGTGGCACTTAGGCGTTGGCTCCTTGCGGATCAGACACAGGTGATCCCCGAAACATCCTTTCCCAGTGATCACCTGCGTCAGTCGGTATGAGAGGGTCCCGTGACGCCTCTCGAGCCAATCGTCCATAACGGGTCTTACCGCCGCGATCACGGCGTGCCCGGAATTACAAATACCCTACACAGGCCATACCTATGTGCCCATAAACTACAGATAGTTACGGATCATCGGCTACTCAAATTGCTATTTAGCCACAAAGGCCCTAGTAGCAAGCTCCAACGATGGCGGTTTAAGAATAAAAACAGAACATTTAATACTCACCTTAAAGAATACAACGAAGACTTGATGAAGAGCCATTGTAAATATATCCTAGTACCTACCTCTAGAGACCTTGATGAGTCCATTCCGTACATTTCCGAAGTACTTAGTAACCTAGATAATATATTAGGCACTGAAAAAGAACTACATTTATTTCAAAAGATAATATTAAGAAATAAAGTTATTTACCTTGCATTTGGTTAAGTACACCATTTAGACCAAACTTCCTACCCTGATCTCTTTCTTACACTGAAAAACATTAAAAGTGAGTTATTACAATCTGGCAATGTAAATGAATTAGCAATATCAGATTTCAAAAGCCCTCATGATAAACTTTCAATTATAAAAATTTATAATATGTTGTCATTTATATTTGACGACAGTGGAATTACAATGAATATTTACCACAACAGTATTATGTATCCTTCACCAAGCGAAGATAAGAAAATACTTATAGAAAATTACGACTTCCCTGTAGCTGGACATCTAGGGTCACTTAGGATGTACAAAAGAATTAAAGAGAAATACCATTGGAAATCCATGAGAAGCGATATAGAGGATTACGTTAAACAGTGTTCTGCCTGCCATGCGAACAAAATGTTAAGAAGAACTAACCAAGCGCCAATGCAGATTACCAATACATCTACATTACCTTTTTGAACGGGAAGCACTTGACATCGTTGGGCCTCTTCTTGAATCCGGCACTGCTAAGTTAAAATATTTTTTGACATTGCAAGATGATCTTACAAAGTATTCATGTGCATATCCTATGCGCAGCGTCTCCTCTGAAGGAACGACAGACTGTGTCGTAAACTTTATTTCAATGTTTGGGATTCCAAAGTCGATTCTCACAGACCAGGGCACCAATTTTACTGCTGACCTCTTCAAAAAACTTTGGTCTACACCATACCATCCGCAAACTGTAAAAAAAAAAAAACTAGTATGTATATATTTTTTTCTTTTGCAAGGGGTGTGTGGTGTATAGAGCACACCAATATATAACCATGTACGAGTATTCATTTAGTCAGAATGTAAACCTGTGACAATAAACACGTATTGTCAAGATACATCTTTTTCTTATAGTCCGAACCGTACAAGCTAATCCTATCCACCCCTGCAGATGGGAGATAATTCATTGGCCTATGATACCAAGGAAAAAGCCGATCTCCTAGGCAAATTCTTGGAATCCTACTCGACGAAACGTACCGCCGACCATACCGCGGTGCCATAGCTATATGCCGGATATCCGGTTAACACAAAAATCAGTGCGCAAAGCACTCTTTTCCCTCGACAATCACAAGTCATGTGGGCCCGATGGAATATCTCTATCGTGTTGAAGATACGTCTAACACGATAGGAGAGATTCCGGAGTTGACACCGGTTTTAACGCGCCTTTTTCGTCTCTCCTACTCCCGAGGCGTCGTCCCGAACTCCTGGACGGTAGCGTTTGTGCACCCGATCTCTAAAAAAAAAGGTGACCGCTCTGCCACGTCCAACTACAGGCCTATAGCAAAAACTCATTTGTTCTCTAAGATTATGGAATCCATAATCAACTGCCAGCTCCTCCAGTACTTGGATGATCACCAGCTACTCAATGACCGACAATATGGTTTTCGCTGGGGTCGCTCAGCTGGTTATCTTCTTGTCCTTCTAACACACAGGGCACTTCATTTGGGCTTTCCGAGAAATTGTGTAATTGTTACCAGTTTCCTTGCGGACAGAAGCATTAAGGTCGTTGTCGACGGTGCATGCTCCGACTTGAAATTCGTAAATGCTGGTGTCCCACAAGGCTGTATGCTATCACCCACACTGTTTCTTCTGCATATCAATGACATGTTGCAAACTTGTAACATCCATTGCTATGAATAGCACACACCACAACCAATCCCCTTCCCTCCGGATCTCTGTGGCGATCAGACGTGTATCTTTGTTGTGTCTTTATTACTGTATTTTAAATTTATTAATTGAAATGAGTTATAAAATCGATTGCATATAATAGGCGCACAGTGCCTCCGTGGAGTTCAACGCAAGTAAATCATTTCGGAACCTACACCAAGCGTGAGTTCTTTTTTCTTCGCCTCATTAGAAACTTGTGCCTGTGTAAATAGTCGTCGACCATCAGTGCACTCTTTTGCTTGCTGTCCTCTACGCACCCTAATGAAGCATAATTAGTGTGAATAAAATAGCGCACCGTTTTTTGTTTTTGTTTTGTTCAAGGGGTCTCGCTTGAATGGACGGAAAGCACTGAAGTGACCAGTTTTGTTGACCCCTCACACAATAAACGTTTGTTGTTTCTTCCCTGCAACTTGTTAAGTAGGTGCGTAGCAATAAGACAGCGGTTGAATGCGAACTGATTTATTATTCGTCCCCGCGCCGGGACGCGATATACAATGTAGGTAGATACATAACACTTTTCCCTCTTAAGAATAAACTAGCTATCTTATAATCATAAACAAGACCTTAAACCCAAAGAAATAATAAGTGAATGTAATGGAAACTTATAAGTAATTTCATAACTAGGTACCTATAGATTACAATCTTATTTATACATTTTTAGTCTTTCACGACATTGTATAGCAGCTTCCCTGCGCTGTGGTTTATCAGTATTAGCGTTAGAAGACAACAGCGGCGCCGGCGAAGTCGGGCTTGTGCCCGCTCCTTCCTCCGCACTATCAAATGACTCCTTATGCTCCTCCTCATCTGACTTAGTCGTCAAACCAGCCGTTGACTTGATATGTGAACTATCCACTATTTGACTCAGTGAATGACGTGGTTTTCTAGCGAGTATTTGGTCAATGTGTCTCTTATACATATGACCGTCTTTTGGTTTAACGTTATACGATACAGGACCAGTTCGTTCCTTTACCACGGCCTCAGTCCACTTATTTTGCCAGATTTGAAATAGTTACGCATCAGTATCGGTCCGTTTTGCTCAACCACTCGCAACGGTACGTTACGGGCCCGCTGCTCCTCGGTGACGCGCGCGCACACGCTCAGCGGCATCGGGATGGAGTAGGTGTAGTCGACCGCGCAGCCGTCTGCCTAACAGAGCGACTGCAGGTTCGCATCCCGTTGTGCCCTGTTCGGTATTTCGGTACATAAATAAAAATCGGTTCAAGGCTTTATTTATGTCCTCCCTCTCTAATTCTATAAAATTTTTAAGCACCCTTTTAATAGTGCGCACGGCATTCTCCGCTGCGCCATTGCTGGAAGGGTGATACGGGGGTACCAGGGTGTGTTTAATAGCGTTGTTCTCTAAATATTGAGAAAATGCCGCAGATGTGAATGGCGGTCCATTGTCGCTAACAATGCGTGAAAAATGGCTGCTTCTATCCATTTGATGATGATTATAAAGTAATAATGATTATTAAAAGGACCGAGAAAATCTACATTAATGTGAGACCATGGTTCCGCCGGCCAAGGCCACGAGTGCAGCGGGGCGGCGGGGGGCGCCGGGCGCATCTCCCTGCACGCTACACACTCGCGCGCAACTTCTTCTATGTCTCGATCGATATTTTCCCACCAAACGTAATTTCGTGCGATTTGTTTCATCTTGACTATGCCCGGATGACCTTCATGGATCTCTTTCAAGATGCAGTTTCGTAAGGTATTCGGGACTACAATTCGATAACCCCAGATTATATACCCCTGGCTTATGTGTAAATTGTCCCTTTTGTTATAATATTTTTTTTCAATATTATTGTACACATAATTAGTTGGCCACCCAAACATAATAAATCCGTAGATCTTGTTTAGTATCGAATCCTTTCCCGTTTCAGTTTTAATTTCATTAAAACTGATTGGAAAGTTTTCTTGCGCGTAATGCAGATAACTAACTTCTTCGTCTTCACCTCTTAATTGCTTTTTTGACAATTCTAGAGGGAGACGTGAAAGCGTATCAGCGAAACAATTTTGTGTTGATCTTACAAACTGAATGGAAAAATCATATGCAGCCAACTTAACGGCATAACGTTGGAGTCTACTTGCAGCTGTTACTGGTAACCCTTTATTTTTACTAAAAATGTAACTCAAAGGGCGGTGGTCGCTCCATAGTACAAAATGTCTCCCGTAAACATATTGATGGTGCTTAGTGACCCCGAATACGATGGCGAGCGCCTCTTTGTCTATCTGGGAGTAGTTAGCCTCCGCGCTGTTGAGTGTGCGCGACGAGCAGCTGACGGGCCGCTCAGCGCCGTCCGCGTGCTGCTGCGTGAGCACAGCGCCGTCCGCGTGCTGCTGCGTGAGCACAGCGCCGTCCGCGTGCTGCTGCGTGAGCACAGCGCCGAGCCCGTATGCGCTGCTGTCCACTGACAAAATCAGCTCCAAGCTTGGATCGTAATGCGCGAGCACAGGGGAACTGCTTAATACATTTTTTATGTTATTAAAATCCGTATAACAATCAACTGTCCAACTCTATTTCACATTTTTTTTCAATAAATCATACATTGGTTTCAATATGTCACTCATATTCACACAAAATTTTGAATAAAAGTTCACTAATCCTATAAAAATTTTCAGTTGAGTTACATTAGTAGGTGGGAGCGCTGCTACAATGGCTTCAATTTTTTTTGAATCAGTGTGCAGCCCATACTTATTAATTTTGTATCCTAAATAGGTAACACTGTCCTTGAAAAACTGACACTTACTAAAGTTTATCCTCAATCCGTTCTCTTTAAGCCTTTGTAGCACCGCCTTTAAATTTGCTAGGTGAGTGGGTTTGTCGCTTCCTGTCACGCAAATATCATCAGCGAAGACCGCTGTCGAAGCCAAGCCATTTAGCGTTTCTTCCATAATTTTTTGAAAATTTTCGGGTATGCATTTAATACCGAATGGAACGCGCTTATAAACAAATGTACCTACGTGAGTGGTAATGGCTGTCATCGCCTGCGAGTCTTCGTGTAAAAGACATTGTTGAAATGCATTAGACAAGTCTAATTTTGTGTATTTCTCACCCCCTCCCAAAATCGCAAACAGGTCTTAGATACGCGGCAGCGGGTAATGATAGTCTTTTAACAGAGGATTGATTGTGACTTTGTAATCGCCGCATAATCTGATATTACCATTTGTTTTAATTACTGGGACAATAGGCGTACCGTAATCTGATCTTTCGACTTTGTATATGACGTCATCCCGCTGCAGCCGCTCGAGTTCCATTTCAACTGGTTGCCGAAGCGCTAATGGTATTGGTCGCGCTTTTATAAACCTAGGTGACTCATCTTTGAGGTATAATTTAAACTTTGACTTAAACGTACCTAAACCTTCTGCAAATACCTCAGGAAATTCCTTTCGCAAGAAGTCGCCATCAAGTCTACTTCGGTTATATTGTAGCATTCCCCTATACCTAGCTTCAAATGTTTAATCCACGTTCGGCCCATCAGTGGAGGCCCTCCGTTTTCGTTTGATTGCTTTTCACCATGACTAACATTGACCACAATAAAACCAAAAGTCTCTATGACGTCCCCGGTATATGACTTCAGATTTATTTGCTTTTGTTCTATAGGAATATTCGGGAAATATCTATAATGTAAGGAGAATCCTCTCTTACGTCAGTAACTACCCCACCTCGCCTATAAAAGCAAGGAGCTGCAGATAGAACGACCATTCGTTGCTCGACGCTCGGACTGGACGGACGTGTGAATCATCGGCTAGTCGTAAGGTTACGTAAGCCATTTGAGTTTTGTTTGTGGAAAAAGTGCGTTTGTGTGTTTCGTATAGTGGATTTTAAGTTCTAGTGAACTGTAAGTAAATTTTGCTGATTGTAATTTGAGTCAATTGCGTTTACGAAGTAAAAAGTGTTTTTTTTTGTTGTGAATCGTTTTTTTAAATAAATTTCCACTTCTGAAGCTTATATCAGAAGTGGGATAAAGGACTTTTAAGGCCCACTTAGGCGAAGTCTCGTAGCTGAAAATTATTTTGAACAGAAAAACCGTTTTTTTTTCTTTTCGACTTGAACTACTTGACTTGACCTGAACTACACTTTATTACTTTTATTTTTATTCGATTGTCTTACTTGTCTGATTTGATCCCGATTTTCTTGTGATAATGGAGCGTGAAAGGCCCCATACTTGTGAAAAACGGTCACGTACTCGGGATAAGTCACGCAAACTACGCCGATCCCGTGGGTCATATGATCGCAGTAGTGGTAGATCGTACCGCGATTCGAGTAGGATTCGTCGTACTTCGCGAGATGGCTTACGTGATCGAGATCGGCATGATTCTCGTAGTTCCGAAAGGCACCAATCACGTACTAGGGATAGGCGCGATTCGCGTAGTAGGGATCGTTCGCGTAGCGACATTGGCCATAGAGAACGCGCACGTACTCCTTCGCCCCCGGTTCAAACGAGTTCTACCCACAAGAATAGCGAGGTGTTGCCAAAAGCTAAGGAGCCAATGATCCCTAATACGTCAGAACAAAATCGGCCCATGAGTCTAGTATCCCCGGCTCTCAGGCATCCACTCTCGCTCATGCCTTGATGCAAGCAATAAAAACGATGCAACCAGCAAGGTCACAAAACTATTACGTGTCGAACTTTGACCCATCAATTAACAGCGTCGAGGCATGGTGCAACGAAGTGGATCCTAGAGAGGCTAACGGTTGGAGTGACCACGAATGTCTCTCGCGTGTAGCTACTTGCCTTAAGGATGACGCCAAGGTCTGGTTAGGGGATTGGGTGACGAACGATAGAACGTGGTCCAATTTCGTACGCGAGTTCAAACCCCTTTGCTCGAGTAAATTGGACTACGCGAATATTTTGCTCGAAGCTATGAATACTACGTCAGACAAGTATTCAACTTACTCAGAATACGCCCGTCGTACTTTATTGCGTTTGAGAATAGTTCAGGGGCTAAGTGACGAATTAAGAACGCTAATCGTTATACGCGGTATGGACAATCCACAGGTGCGTGCAGCTGCTGCTAACGCAAACTTGACTTCTGACACTATTGTCTCATTCCTGTCAATTTACACGAAACCTTCAAGGAACGACAAGGCCGTCGATCATAAAAGGCAAGGTCAAATGAAATCAAACCACCGTGTTGGCCCAAAATGCTTTAATTGCAATCAAACCGGTCATCTCAGTCGCAATTGTAAGAGGCCTAAGGCAAACGCGACCAATAGCAAGCCTACTAACGTGGTTTTGGACAAATCCTCCAATACACAACCCTCTTCGAGCAATTCTTGTACGTTCTGTAAGAGATCGGGACATACTGAGGACAAATGCTTTACCAAAGCTAAATCCGAGCAACGAAATCCGCGTAATATCAACCTTTGCTCTTATCGATCAAATATTGCACTAAATAACGACATGACTACCGCGATAGTAGATGGAATACCCGTAGACGTGCTCATTGATAGCGGAGCCCTTGATGTGTCCCTTATTTCCTCAGATATTTTGAAATATTTTACGTGTCAGCCAAAACCGAGACGTTGTGTGTTGAAGGGTTTGAGTAAGAAAGAAGTGGTCGCCACATCTTACGTCACGTTCACTGTGGAATTCAGCGACATTGCTATCGAAGTTGACTTAGTAGTAGTTCCATCGTCCTACATGAACGCCCCTATCATAATTGGCACTGATGTGTTGAACCGCGAAGGCATCACTTACATTCGTACTAAAGATAAGCAGTACCTCACACGTTCCGACAACATTAGCGCAAATGTCAATGCCATTCGTGCGGGTGATCAGGCCAAAGTAAATACACCCCTTCAGGGCGGGGCGGGGTTGGGTGTGCTCCAATAGGCCAAGATCCAAGGCCTGGAGCGGATCCAATCCTGGTACGCCCTCCTATCCGGAGGGCGTGCACGGCGAATGGTCATGGGGGAGAGCGCAACAGTCGTGTAGATCCCCATGGCAAGTCTGGGTGTCATCCTTCCCGTGGTTGCCGCCTGTTTTAGGTCTGATTCCCTACGAAACAGATATAACAGAAACACCCAGACGCAATTCCATCCGACAAAACCTATCCTTTCCCATTTCCTATCCCATCCACACCTACTGCGGACACTAAGTGGTTGGTGCCTGCGGCCTCACTATCAATAAAGACTGGGAGGGGGGGCAACCACCCGCATGTTTGTGCCGTGTGCGGGGACCCGTAAGGGATCGAAGGGATCCTGGTAGTTGAGCTGAAAGGCAACACACTGCTTTGGCCTGGATTTCTCTTTACACGGGAGGCTGAAGGCTAGCCACCTTTGGTCAATCGGCTGTAGTATCCCGTCAGAGGGCTGCTGGGCGAGAGCTCTTCCTTGGTGGGGGTGGACGACGGGTGGGACGACCAAGTCATCCTACCTAGTTCGGCCTGCCTTCTGTCAGGGAGGGAGCTCTATATTTCCTTGTCACTTCTGGCGTCGTGTGCCTTCTGCCGCGGCGTCCCCACTTGAGGGCTCCAAGGAGGGTGGAAGGACAAGGAGATGAATAGTATACCTAACACACTATGGATACTAAAAAAACCAATTTAAAAAAAAACCACCAAGCCGGTACCGAGGGTGAACAACCCAAGTGCCAGGCCAAACAACCAATCGGCTGACCCCAGGGTGAACAACCCAAGGGTGAACCCGACAAATACACCTTTGGCTGCTGCTCAGGCTAACAACCCGACCGCAACGCCATCCACGACTCTGGCGACACCTCTGGTGTCTAACCAGAATACGGAGCCAGTGTCGACCATCGACCTCTCCTCTTTGAGGGCAGCAATGCCCGTACCTGCGGGACCCGGCCTGGAAGAAACCGGCTGGAGCCTGGTAAGGACAAAGAAGAGAGCGTCGAAAAAGCCAAACCCGTCCAAGAAGACCCGTAACGCCAACAGGGCGAAAGCCCGAGTGGAAAGGCAAGCACGGTGTCTGACCTCGGGTGGAAGTAAGCGGCTTGAAGTCGCTGAAGGGCCCGAAGGGGCCCACGTTGCCCCCGCCAGTGACGTGCTGCCCCGAGGCGAAGACGAAAGTCAAGCCACGGGGAAGTGTACTCCTGTGGGGGCGCCACCTGCCAAGACGCCTGTAGCGGTACGACTCGCGCCATACTCGAGAGCACGTGCTTTTTTGACCGCTCCTACCTTTGAAAAATAGTTTTCGTGGGTTTTCTTCGAGATATCTTGACAAGTTTGGTGTCGGGAGCTTCGTCTCGCCGCGCCCCATATATTGGATTGCAGTGAAGTGCCGTCGTGCGAACCCCAGAAGCACAAAAAGTGTAAAACCTCACTTTTTTGGGGTTATGTTGTAAAAATCTTTTACATTTTAGTTAATAATTTAGTGACCAGTGTAGTGAGAAGTGAGAAAAAAGTGCTAGGTGGTGGGTCAAGTGTGCCCGCACACGCTGCGGCCTTCAAAACCACCCGCACGCGCGCCGCCGAAGTAGGAGAGCATTTTTTCTTCAGTTGCCACGTGGTGATCAAAAACGAAGGAGGCTAGCTGGGAGCCTGGAATTTTGGTCACATCAAGAACTCTACGTGGAACACCATTTTCCGGAAAAAAGAAAATTTTTAGTAAGTCTGAAAAATAAATATCGCTTATTAAAGTTCTGAACTTTGAGCTCTAATATCCGCTAAACGACTTGGAAATTGCAAATTCTGCAACTGCTATCTGCTGCGCACTTCGAAGAAGAATAGATATAGCTATTTTGAAATATTTTAGACAGTATACTTTTTGTGTGAAAATTGAATAAGTGTAAATTTTGAAAATTTTTTTTTTTTTTTGTGTTTGTTTTATGATATTTTTAAAAAATTGTAGAGGTAAGATAGAGCTAAATTTTACACTAATTATACATTTTTTTTGTAGATTTTTATACCTTACCAATCCGGAGATATTAATTTTTTAGTGTTTTTTTCTTAATTAAATTAAAACAGGTAGAAATTCATCGATTCTAACCGTGGGGCCGGGTCTATATGGTCCCTTTGGACTTATATAAGCCCAAACTCGGTGCCTCTAGGGCCGGAGTTGACGAATTTCGTAAAATCCGCCATTTTGGTTATTTAGGTTGAAAAATTTTGATTGAGTTTATCTCCGGACTGGAAGGTCGTAGCGGTTTGGGGTTTTCGCTGTTGGGTGCCCTGAACACCCCTTTAGGCAGTAAATATAGTTTCGGATAGATTGACCACAATTAGATTTTTTGCTTCAAAAGTCAATTGGCGAGGAAGCCGCGGTGATTCCGAGCTGTCTGGAAGAAACCCGGACTCTCTGCGACCAACGGTTGCGGAGATAAGGGCCTCCAAAGTTGGAGTTTGACAGCTCGGCAGCCATCTTGTTTTGGGTTGAACAGCCATAACTCCACAACCGCTCAAGCTATTTGTTTGCGGTTTTCGCTATAGGTACTTAGAGGGCCTTGGCTACCTGTTCCTGAATTTTCAGGACTATTGGAGCCAAAAAATTTTTGGGTCCTAAAAACGGCACTAGGGCATAGAGGTCGGGGCGATTACGGGGAACCCGGACTCGGGTATTCTGGGACGTATAGAACCGGAGATAAGGCCGGCCAGATTTTCAAAACCGTACGACGTTTCGAGGTTTTGAAAATTTTCAAAACCGTACATCTCCGGAACGCGTAGTCCCAGCGAGCCCGGGTTTCTTCCCGGCGCCTTGGCGCCCCCTACTGCCCATAATAAGTTAGGTTTTGGGGGGATTGGGGGTCAAGGAAGTTTGGGGGTCAAATTTGCTACCGGGGGGTGGGTCTCGGCGGGACGGTCCGATTGAGCCCAAGCACGGTGGAGTTTGGATAATCGGTGCCGGAGACACGAGGTTGAAACCAAACCTAGGCAGCCATCTTGGATTGTAACCAAGAACTTTAAACACCTGTATCTCTGGTCTCCTTTGGAGTAATTGTGCCGTGTCTGGGATCTTTGGAAAGGGCTCGGGAGGAGCTATCCGCCCAACTATACAACGTGGCTCTATGTAGAGTCGGAAAAAAATTTTTGTTTTCTTTTTTATTGTCTTTTTTATATATTTGTTTTCTTTTGTGTACATAACGTTAGAGTGTATTTTTTGACCCCGGTGGTTGCCCTACCGGTGTACGCCGACCCATTAAATAGTTAAGTTGACTGTAGCGTGGTTCTACAAGTTTCTAGTTTTACTTCATACTTTATTTGAATTTAATTTTAAGACTTTAATCCTAGTTTTTTTTTTTGTTTTTTTTTTTTGACTAACCCCGGAGGTTATTTACTTTACCTATAGACAGGACTTAGACCCTGTCCGATACTCGGACAGAGAGCGAACGGACCGCAGGTTGTGATCTGCATACACATAACTCTACACACACGCGACACATACGCACCCTGGGTGACACACTCAGTAACACATAAACAGTATACACAACACATACACAAAACACTGACACGCACAACACTGCGTCTCTGGGGCCGTATCTGGGTCGGACGCCGGCATTCGTTGGGTGCGAGCCTGTACGTGACAAACCTACGTTAGGTTGGACTAATTAATTTAATTTAGCATTAGTTCGTGTTTACAACTTTTACAAATTTACATTTTACCTCTTTAACCTTTT